CCTGCTCCCATGCTCCTCGCCCAGCCTCTTCCTGACCGTCGCCTGGCTGGTCCGGAAGGAGGTCCTGACTGGGTGCCCCTGCCAACTGCATGCGATGGGAGATCTGAAGCTTGCTGCTCAGCTGCTCGCGCAGTTGGTCCTTTGCCGCCTCGCCTCCCTCCGTGCTGTCGGCGGGCGGTGCACTCTCCCCCAGCTCGGACAGCAGCACCGCCACCAGCGCTGCCACGTCCATGGGGTCCCCCTCGTGCTCGTCAGATAGAGAGCGCCGCTGCAGGGGCGGATGGCATGGCATGGCATGCGAGAGAAAGGCAACGAGTCTGAGAGGCAATCCCCCGCCTCCCATGGCGTTTGCAGGTCTGAGGAGTGCTGGTGGTAAGAATGACAGACTGATTGGAGACACAGGAGCATGTGGGAAGATGCATGGGAAAGATGGAGATCGCGCAGGACTGTTAAATGCAAGTTATGAGCATCTCCAACGGGTGTGCATGCGATGCTCATCCCATCCCTTGACGTGCATGCAATGCTCATCCCATCCCTTGACGTGCATGCAATGCTCATCCCATCCCTTGACGTGCATGCAATGCTTATCCCATCCCTTGACGTGCATGCAACGCTCATTCCATCCCTTGACGTGCACATAGTCCCCCCAATGTCACCATGCGGGCGTGTGCGCGGCGCAGGACGGCAGAGAGCGAGTGGGCGTTGAGGTGCCTCTCCCCCACCACCACCACAGTCTCGCGCTCATCCAGCGTCTTCAGTCGCCAGAAGCTCCGCCGCCTCTGCATGGCCGGCTCCACCATGCTGCCAACCGTGCTGCCAGCATCAGCAGCAGCGGTGCTACCAGCATCAGCAGCAGCGGTGGTGGAAGCATGGGCGTCCAGCTGAGTGTTGGTGCTGCCGCCTGCCCGGGTCTTTGCGACCCCACCACTTGCCAGCAACCCCTTCGTGCTCTCAGCCCGGCTTAAGTTAGACTCTTCAGCTCCCACCATCGCTAACACTTGTTGCTGCGCCTCAATACGATCCCCTTTTTCCTCCCTTCCCACCACCTCCACCCCATTTATCCCCGGTTTGCTATCACGAACAACATCCTCCAGCCTGTCCCCATCAGTTTCACGCCTGCTGCCTCTCGTCTCCTTGCCGCACTGAAGGCTCGACGCAAAGCACTGCTGGCCGGACTGCCGAAGGCTCTTCTGCGGAGTGGTGGACAATGTGAAGGGAATGAGGTGGCAGTGGGACACAAATGAAGGTGGCAGTGGGACACAAATGAAGGAGGCAGTGGTACACAAATGAAGGTGGCAGTGGTACACAAATGAAGGTGGCAGTGGTACACAGGGACGCAGCTCCGGAATCAATGTGTGGAAGCTTAGGTAGGCAAACCCCTGGCACAGCAGATTGTGGTCTTAAGGTGATGAAGAAAAGAAAATCTAATCCTAGGACATCCTAAGGATTAGACTTGAGTTAGACCTGAACCAGTCGTCCCTCATTGCCACATTGTCTCAAAGCAGGCTAGACCACACTGGTTTGGTCGGGACCCGCAGGGGAACCATGTGGTTAAAGATTGGAAGTCAGAGTTCAAAAAGCACTCTGGCAGGTCATGCGTGTCATCATGCGGGTCAAACACGCCCCTATTTTTGGATGGAAATAGTAGTCGGAGCTAAGAAATAACTCTCAATTGCATTCCCACATTTTTGCAACTTCCTGCTCACCTCCCTGCCCGCCACCTCCCTGACCGCTCTCACCTCCCTGCTGGCTCACCTCGAGGACAGCGTGGGCGGTGTTCTCTGCTCCGAGGCGAATGAGGTGGTGCAGCAGGCGGCTGTATCTTCTGTACGGCGATGCCACGCGGCGGAAGAAGCGCACCACAATCCAATACATGTCCTGGTAGATCGCCGGTGCCTTCTCCGATGACTCCTGCCCACCAGTACACGTGGGCCAGCCAAGGTGGGCGGGAGGGCGGGAGGGAGGGAGGGAGGGGGGGAGGGAGGGCGGGAGGGAGGGAGGGAGGGAAAGAGGGAGGGAGGGAGGGAGGGAGGGTGGGTTAAGATAGGTTGGGAGAAGTATTACAACGCACTTCAACCACATGTGATGCTAGGGACAAAACGAGGTGTGAAAAGGGGGTGTCAAGGTGACGACGAAGAGGAAGGCAAAGAGCACAAAGAAGATGATGCTGACAAAGGAGAACCACAACACCATTTCCACCAGCGTTGAATCACCTTGTCTGGCGTTGACCGCCATTGCCTGACATTGACTAGCGTTGACCTTTGTTGACTGACCTTGACTGGCGTTGACCTTTGTTGACTGACCTTGACTGGCGTTGACCTGTGTTGACTGACCTTGACTGCCATGAAGGCATCCACGATGATGGCGATGAGGAAGTTGAAGAGGATGAAGCAGAAGATGATGACGAAGGAGAACCAGAACACCATGGCTGCCACGTACTGCCACCCCACCATCTGCTGGAACCACGACACGTAGAACTGCCCGACGATCATGTAGAAGCAGTTCTGCAGGGACAACCACAGCGTGCTGAACTGCACTTGGGGGAAAGGAGGGCGGTGAAGAAGGGAGATTCACATCCTTAACAAATGAGTGACATATCATTACCACCTATGCAATTCTGCACTTCCAAGCACTCTGCATCTACACCTCTGTTGTCAGGAGGTGGCTTCCCATGCCAGCCTTGTGGAAAATTCACGAGGGCTCTCCTTCACGAGGGCTCTCCTTCACGAGGGATCTCCTTCACGAGGGCTCTCCTTCACGAGGGCTCTCCTTCACGAGCTGACCGTGCCTACGTGACGCTTTTGGCCTCGCCCACCTCCCCACATCAGTTCAAGGAGGGGGGGAGGGGAGGGGGGTTTGCAAGATGCTTTTCTTCTTCAGAAGCAACGCCCACCCCCCTAGCCACCCACTCCCCACACAGATTTTTGTTTAGAAAGAAGAGTACAAATAAAGCAAAAAAAACCATGGAACAGGACGAATTGGACATCTGGGCTGAACAGATGCATGCAAGCAGCACACACCTGCTCCAAGGTCATCCCAAAGACCATGTAGCCGTAGATGGCGTATGCCATGAAGACAACGAAGAAGAGAATGAAGAAGTGGAGGAGAGACGGCATGGCGACGCGGAGGGAGCGAGTCATGATGCCCATGTTGGGCTGAAAGTCCATCAGCTTCAAGAGGCGCAGCACTATGATGAACACACTGGTGGGGTGGACGGGACAGTGACACATTCGGTCAGGCAGATGAACGGCAAGAAAGATGAGACACTTGTCGGAGGAGGCTCATGGCGTGATGGGGGCCTCAGATAACAGGCGTTCTAGAGAAAGACGGAGGCAGCATGCAAAATGGGGGACTGGAGTGTGAGGGAAGAGGGAAGAGAGGAGAGAGGGAAGTGAGGAAAGTGGAAAGAGAGGAAAGAGGGAAGAGAGGAAAGAGGGAAGAGAGAGGAAAGAGAGAGGATATGGTGGATGTGGAGAGGCGGGAGAGGAAAGGGAGATGGGAGAGGGGGGAAAAATGGGAGAGGGAGGGGATGGGAACAAGTGGGGAGATGGGAGAGGGGGCCAGGAGAGCGAAAACAGGGGAGATAGGGGAGAGGGGGGGGAGAAGGGAGAAGAAGTAGAGAGGGCGAAGAGGGGAATGAGAGAGGTGGGGGAGAAAGGAGATGAGGAGAGGGGAAAGGAGGGAAACAGAAGAGAGAGGGGAACGAAGTAGAAATGGGATGGGGGAGCAATATGGTGAGTCCAAGAGTTCAAAACATGTGGCAAGTGGTATCACAACTATGGAGGCAGGGCATGTAAGGGGAGAAGCGAGACTGACTTGATGCCCTGAAGGGCGAAGTAGACGGCGCAGAGGTTGGTGACGAAGCCAAGCGTGTCCACGGCTGACATGGCGGCCTGATAGCCCACGGGTGGGTTGGGCAGCGACCAGTAGCGCGGGTTGTCGTCGAGCGTGTATTAGATGTCATAGTGAGGCTGGATGGTGAACCCTTGCGCTCGCATCACCGCCACTGATATCCTGTGCGTGCCATGGCAGCAAGTGCCATGGCAGCAAGTGCGAGAAAGAGACATAGGTTTGTCACTCCATGGATGTAAGCAGTAGGTGACTGAACCACCACACTCAATCCACACTCACCACTTAACTCTTTCCCATTTTTTGTCACCCCATGCATTGCCACCCCAAGCATCGCCACCCCATGCATCGCCAACCCATGTAGACTGGGGAGGGCAGACTTCATGCAACACTTGGGACTCGCAATTGGAATGAAGAGGAAGGTGACTGGCGTGGGCCGTATGCCGTATACCCAATGCACTCTTGCAATATAAGCATCACATGAATGATCCACCACACTCAATCCCCACCTCACCACTTCAACTTGTCCCAGACCTTTTCACCCCATGCCTCTACACACCATGCCTCGCCACCCCAAGCGTCGCCACCCGATGCCTCTTCACCCCAAGCGTTGCCACCCCATGCCTCTTCACCCCAAGCGTCGCCACCCCATGTGTACTGACCAGATGGCGATGCAGGTGATCTGGAGGGCGATGGAGAGCCAGTCCACCCAGTTCCAGCCCCTGCTTGCGTAGAGCCAGAAGGAGCGGCGCTGCACCTTCCACGTCCACACCATCTCCTTCACCTCCTCCACGTTGCTCCACTCCACGCCACCGCCGCCACAAAGAGCAGCTCGACCACGAGGCGCGCCACGTTGGTGGTGTGATTCATGTTGTAGTACTCCACGTTCACCGGCTGCACCTGGAACACTGCCTCCATGCTGCCGCCCGCCTGCACCGTCACCGTGGCCTTGGTGGCCGTGAACAGATGCTCGTTGGCTGGCCGGCAAAGGGAGGGGGGGAGTGGAGGGGGGAGTGGAGGGGGGAGGGGGGGGGGGACGGAGAGGGTGCGTGCACATGCAGACAAGAGAGAGAAGCTCACACAGGCTGAAAGCCAGTCGACCAACACAATGCTCGCATACAGGGTGAATACACAAGCACACAACACAGGGTTCACAGTACATTGCGGGCGATGAGGCCGACAGTACCATTGCGGGTGATGAGGCCAACAGTACCATTGCGGATGATGAGGCCGACAGTACCATTGCGGGTGATGAGGCCGAGAGTACCATTGCGGATGATGAGGCCGACAGTACCATCGCGGGTGATGAGGCCGACGTTGATGGTGCGCGTATAGTTGTCGATGAAGAAGCCGTCCACCAAGTACTGCAGCCGCCGCGTTGCCCCCGCGTTATCCAGATTCACGTCAAACACGATCGGGAACTGCCCGCTGCCCGGCTGTGGACACAAAGAGTGTTGGGTTGGAAGCGCAAGGGAGCGCAAGGGAGCAAGAGAGGCAGCAGTTGGACTGCGAATGCGAGACAAGTCAAGGCTCATCGAGGTTCATAAATTTCAACTCAAGACTCGACTCAAGGCATCAGCAGCACCAATGGAGCCTGAATCGGCCCAACAACCTAGCTTAGAGATGCAGCAGCTGCTGGTGGGTGCCTGGAATGCCCAAAGGGAGGACCCCGGGTTGGCTACGCTAACTTACTGAGTACGGAAACATGGTAACACGGTTACATGCACTGTAGCAGAAGACAGTGCACACGGGTGAAGGCAAGGCAAGGTGTGACTGACGAGCTGCTGGAAGCCGAAGGGCAGCCCCTTGGCGTTGAGCTCAAAGGGGTTGGCGAAGGGCTGGTTGGTGAAGGCAGTGGTGTTGGTGACGGCGACATTGGGGTTGTAGAGCGACGACGACGGCAGGAACACCGGGTTCACCCCAAACGCTCTCGCCGACTCCCCCCCCACACATGCCTCCTGGAAGTGGAACCTGCCATGCCGTGCCGGAGTGAGGCAGGAGAGGGCAGGAGGCAAGCGGAGGAAGGAGAGGAATGGTGGACGTGGGCTGGCACGCACACAAGCAGCGTGAGAGGGCTTGGTACAAAAGGGGCCGGGGCTGGAGAATATGGATATGGTCGGGTGGTAATCTCTTGATTGCTGATGCTTGGGTTGGGGTGAGGAGTGTGACTGACCTGCTGTTGGCACAGCGATCGGAGCTCCAGCGGTACTGCACGATGACCAGACCTACGAGCACACTGGGGGATGCGAGCCACGCGCAGTACATGCAGGGGGGAACACAGCGCAAGGCACAGTGAGTAAGAGGAGCACGCAACACAGTGGTCAGGCCTGTCACTGAAGGAAGTAACTGGGTAGGCAGCGTGCAGAGAGGCGAAATGCAAAGAGGAAGCATGACACAGTGAAAGAAACAGCATATGCTGTACTGGAGAACCATGCGGCACCTGTTGTACTGGGAGACAGTGCGGCACCTGTTGTACTGGGAGACAGTGCGGCACCTGTTGTACTGGGAGACAGTGCGCGGCAGAGAGGCGTTTGTGGAGGGAGTGGCGTCGAGGGGATGCACGTTGGGGCCGAAACGGCGCAGACTGAAGGGCACCTTGATGGCCTCCCCCACTCCCGCCGCCTCACAGCACGCTGTGGAGCACGGAGGGGAGAGGGAAGAACAGGTAGGAGGAGGGAGGACGGGAAAGTGGGAGGACGAGGGGAGGTAGGAAGAGGGGGGGAATATGGTGGAGAGAGGAGGGGAGTGCAATCACCAAGCAAATTTGCCAATGGCAGCAGTGTGGTACATGGAAGCACACACTGCATGCAAGCACGCATTTCACGACCCGGATGCCCTACCCGCTAAGGCTGAGTGAAATGAACATGGCTGTTTGGATGGAGGGACATGGAGGTATGGTTGAGCAGAGTGAATGCATCTTTTCACTTTACCTCCATCAACCCCGCGCATTTGCAGCACGGAGCATTCACACCACTGCACATCTGCTCCCCCTCCTCCTCCGCTACCAGCGCTGCCAGTGGTGCTGCCGCCAGCCCCAGCAGCGTGGGCAGTGGCGCAGGCACAGTTGCCGCCATCGAAGTCGCAGGCAGCCACGTTGCATGCGGGGTCGCAGCGGCCATTGGCCAGCATGGCCAGCGCACACGCGGGCGCACAGCGCGACGCCAGCAGCTGCTCGTACGGCCGCACAGGCGTGCTCGGTGGCGGCTCTGCTGGGGGGCAGGCAGGGGGTGGGCAGGGCGAGGGCAGTGCATGGCGAGAGGCGAGGGCATTGCATGGAGACAGGCGAGGGCTGAGCATGGAGACAGGCGAGGGCAGTGCATGTAGACAGGCGAGGATGGGGAGGGGCAAGTGAATAAGTGCAAGGATGGTTGCAGTGAGCGTTGCAGAATAGAGGTCGAGATGGCAGGGGCCGTGCAGAGGGGGGGGAGAGCAACGATGAGATGAGGCAGCTTGAAGGGCAGATGGCATGTGCATGCATGTGTGTGCGAGTGGTTGTCACATGGCAGTGCCTGGCATGGGCACACCTGGGTGGGGGATGGCGCCTGGGTGGGGGGTGGCAGTGCCTTGCAGGGAAGGGCGCACCTGGGTGGGGGGTGGCACCTGGGTGGGGGGTGGCAGTGCCTTGTAGGGAAGGGGGCACCTGGGTGGGGGTTGGCGTGGAGGAGAGTGGAGGCGAGCGAGTGCGGCGAGTCCTTGACGGTCATGTCCCGCACCGTGCCAAACACCTTGGTGTACGTGAAATGCGCCGCTGATGTGTCGCCACGCCACCCTGTCGGCAGGAGCGTGGGGAGTTATGAGGAGTGTGTGGAGCATGAGGGAGGAGCATGAGGAGCGTGTGGAGCATGAGGGAGGAGCATGAGGAGCGTGTGGAGCATGAGGAGCGTGTGGGAGTTATGAGGAGCGTGTGGGAGCACGAGGGGGGAGCGTGGGAATCACCACCAATGCAAGCAGTCAATGCAAGCAGTCAATGCAATGTAGTCAGGAGAGCAGCGGTCAATGCAATGTAGTCAGGAGAGCAGCGGTCAATGCAATGTAGTCAGGAGAGCAGCGGTCAATGCAATGTAGTCAGGAGAGCAGCAGTCAATGCAATGTAGTCAGGAGAGCAGCAGGCCAGGAAAGGGCGCGAGGAATGGAGGAGGGGGCACGTGGGACACATGTGTTGTGCGGGTGTCTCGGTTGAGGGAAAGCTTACCTCTCCGAATTAGAGCACACAATTCACACATGCGTCCAACCACTCCATAGGTGCCACGTCATCACTCCAATGTACTCACGCAGCACGCATGGCACAGGCTCATCCGTCGCATCTCCGAGCCCGATGTTGTCCCATGCACACGTTGCAAGCCGTGATAGGCCGAGGCGACCTGCTCCAAACCCAAGAAACGGCTCTGAGCCCACCGGTCCTGCAGTGGAGGCGTGAAGAGGGGAGCAGTGGAGGAGTGAAGAGGGGAGCAGTGGAGGAGTGAAGAGGGGAGCAGTGGAGGTGTGAAGAGGGGAGGAGTGGAGGAGTGAAGAGGGGAGCAGTGGAGGAGTGCAGAGGGGAGCAGTTGAGGAGTGAAGAGGGGAGCAGTGGAGAGCAGTGGAGGAGTGAAGAGGGGAGCAGTGGAGGAGTGAAGAGGGGAGCAGTGGAGAAGTGAAGGGGGGAGCAGTGGAGGAGTGCGGGAGGGAGAAGCCCGAGAATTTCAGGTGGGAAACAAAAAGATGGGAACGATGAGGAACAGCTGGGCCTCCGATGGTTGCACTGCAGCAATCAGGTGCCTCATGCCACACTGGTTCTTTCATAAAAGTCGATGGGCATGAGCATCAACAAACAACTGACTGGGAAACCATGACTCGGGGAAGGCTATCTTTTTCAGGGTTTAGGGTTTAGGGTTTAGGGTCCCTGATTTGACCTGCACCATGACTCGGTTTAGGCTATCTTTTTCAGGCCGTCCATGGGGTGCAGGCCGTCCATGGGGTGCAGGCCGTCCATGGGGTGCAGGCCGTCCATGGGGTGCAGGCCGTCCATGGGGTGCAGGCCGTCCATGGGGTGCAGGCCGTCCATGGGGTGCAGGCCGTCCATGGGGTGCAGGCCGTCCATGGGGTGCAGGCCGTCCATGGGGTGCAGGCCGTCCATGGGGTGCAGGCCGTCCATGGGGTGCAGGCCGTCCATGCGGTGCAGGCCGTCCATGCGGTGCAGGCCGTCCATGCGGCGCTACAGGCGCACCTCTGAGCTTGCTACAGGCGCACCTCTGAGCTCGCTACAGGCGCACCTCTAAGCTCGCTACAGGCGCACCTCTGAGCTCGCTACAGGCGCACCTCTGAGCTCGCTACAGGCGCACCTCTGCGCTCGCTACAGGCGCACCTCTGAGCTCGCTACAGGCGCACCTCTGAGCTTGCTACAGGCGCACCTCTGCGCTCGCTACAGGCGCACCTCTGAGCTCGCTACAGGCGCACCTGTGAGCTCGTGGTAATTGTCGTCATTCCACACCCACGTGACCCGCTGGCCGTTAGCGATGGCACGGCGGGCAAAGGAGGTCGAGTCCCACAGCACTGTGAAGTCGGCTGTGGGGGGAGATGGAGGGAGAGGGGAGGAAAGAGAGAGAGGGAGGTTCAAAGAGATGGAGGGAAGGAGGGAAGTGAAGAGGAGAAGCAATAGGGGGTGGGAACGAGCTGAAGCGAAGTGAGTGAGTGATTGGGCTAATGGAGAGTGACGATGCAGAGAGGGCCACACGAGAGGAGAGGAGAACATCGCGAGAAGAAGAAGGCGGGAACTATTGGTGCAAGAGAAAGAATTTTGAGAGGCAGAAACGGGAGGTATAGAACAAGAAGGAGGGTTGTCCATTGCCAGAAGATTACGACAGCTGAGAGAAGCAGTGAATGGGGTGAGTGAGAACGCAGAGGGCACCTTGGGGGCAGGAAGAAGCATCGGACGAGACGACTGCATCATCATAGGCATGCAGCAGGCGGGTGGCAGACTGGACGGCATCGTCTGGCATCTTCAGCACGACTGACTGCAGCGCGATGATGAGGATTTGGATGAAGAGAGACTGCTGGGTGGCAGAGAAGCGCCGAGATGGACTGCGCATGCGTGAATGAAAGCAGGGGATTGGGGTGGGATGAGCAGGGGATTGGGGTGGGATGAGCAGGGGATTGGGGTGGGATGAGCAGGGGATTGGGGTGGGATGAGCAGGGGATTGGGGTGGGATGAGCAGGGGATTAGGGTGGGATGAGCAGGGGATTGGGGTGGGATGAGCAGGGGATTGGGGTGGGATGAGCAGGGGATTGGGGTGGGATGAGCAGGGGATTGGGGTGGGATGAGCAGGGGATTGGGGTGGGATGAGCAGGGGATTGGGGTGGGATGAGCAGGGGATTGGGGTGGGATGAGCAGGGGATTGGGGTGGGATGAGCACCCGTACGTGCGGTGGGTCCCCCCTCCCAGCCCCCGTACGTGCGGTGGGTCCCCCCTCAAAGCCACTCTCAGCCCCCCTGCCAGCCCCTGTCGCTCGAATGTAATCCACCAGCTCTGCTTGCTTCTTCAACTGCCGCCCAGAGGAAGATTCTGTGAAGTTGCAGAGAGGGTTGTTGGCCACAGGGCCGCCAAAGAGAGTGCAGAGGAAAGCGACGAGGCGACTGCGAGAGGCAAGGGAGAGGCTCTTGGCCGGTGAGGACCACATCAGCGACCCGCCGCCACTGCCCATGCTGCTGCTGCTGCTGCTGCTGCTGCTGCTGCTGCTGCTGGTATCAGCGACAGCGCTGCTGCTGGCATAGCTGGCTCCACCTGTCGGCCCGGCCAGGCAGTTCTCCTTCACTGCAGTGTACAGCGCCCGCGCCACTGCCACCTGGCACGCCCTGATTCGCTCGCCTTCGGAAGTCCCGAGGCTCTCCCAAACGAGCAGCTGGTCTCGCGTGATTGTCGGAGGGGCAGACGCTGCAGGGCAGGGCGGATGCAGGGAAAGGGGGGTGCAGGGAAGGGCGGGTGCAGGGAAGGGCGGGTGCAGGGAAGGGTGGGTGCATGGATAGGCGAAGGTTAAGGCAATGTGTGAAGGAGACAGCAAGGCTCTGCGACTTTTGAGGTGAGGAGCCCATTGCAATGCAGAGGAGAATCTTGACATGCCTAAAGGAGAGAGGACGGAAGGCTAAGCAATGAACAGAATCTCCTTTGTGCTTGAGCGATTGGAGGCACGAGCAGAACCTCAATTCCACTCAACCTGAACTGGCAGGCAAAATCAAACCCAACCAAACTAATCCGGTTCGGGTGGAACCAGCCTGAATAGCTCATGGTGCAATATCCGAGTCTTCAAGGTGCAGTTCAAGTTGAACAGCTGTGGTTCCGGTTGAACCAGTTTCGTTTGTTTCAAGTATGTGAACAACTGTGTGTCTAAGCAGCCATAGGCTTACACCCCAGAAATCAATAGGGGACCCGTCAATAGGGAACCCGTCAATAGGGAACCCGTCAATAGGGAACCCGTCAACTGGGGCCCATACAACGAGGGTCGCAGTGCAGAGCCGTGTGGAACGGGTGAAAGAGGCTCAACCAACTCAACCCGAATTGGATGGTGTACAACAAAACGGCAACGGCTGGTTCATGATGGACCAACGCTCAGTGCTGTGCAGATCAAGCAGGTTTGGAGATGAGATAGGCGTGGTGGGGGAGATGAGATGGGCGTGGTGGGGGAGATGAGATGGGCGTGGTGGGGGAGATGAGATGGGCGTGGTGGGGGAGATGAGATGGGCTTGGTGGGGGAGATGAGATGGCGTGGTGGAGGAGATGAGATGGGCGTGGTGGGGGAGAGGGCGAGGAACGAGCAAGGCGAAGAGAAGAGAGAAGCGGGAAAAGAAGTGAAGACTTGGGTGGGAGAGCAGCAGGCACCTGGTGGCGATGGTGGCAGGCTGTGAGGGCCCTGCCGTGGCAAAAGACGGCTGCTAGAGGTGCTGGTGGGAGTGGCAGAGACGTGTGCCCCCCCCACGGCATGCTGCTGCCCTGCTGCTTCAAGCGGCCCATGCTGCTGCGCCCACGTCTCCTGCAGCTGCTGCCTCACCTGCTGGTGGTGCTGCACGTGGCAGCAGCGAGCACAGGAGAGGAGAGGAGGGGTCAGTGCAGAGCGGAGGAGGGGGCGGTGGAGAAGCGGAGGAAAGAGGGCAGTGACCAAGTGGGCAGCAGTGGAGTGCAAGGGACAGTGCAGACAGTGCAGAAAGTGCAGTGCGCACCTGGAGGACAGATGTCATGAGGCTCTGCTGATTTGTGTCATCGGGGACCGACGCAGAAATGAGAAGACGGGCAGACGATGGGCCTGCTTCTGCTTCTTCTGCTGCTGCTGTTGCTGCGTTTGCCTGACCATCGGTAACAGCAGTTCCTAAGAGGATGTCTGCACACAAGACCAAGATGCAAAAAGTAGTCTTTTTCTTATTCGAAAATTGACTGTAATGTACGGTATTATAGAAACTGATGGTAAAAAACGAGATTTTTTTTTTTTTTTTTAAAGAGAACAAATTGGGTGGAAAAACATATCGTGGGGTGGGGTCAGGAGGGTGGGGGGAAGGGCAGGAGGGGGGGGAGGGCAGGAGGACGCACCAGTGCATGAGGGCGTCTGGACGAATGGCTCGAAGAGAGTGAATGCCTGTGAGGCGAGGCTGACGAGGGCAGAGAGGGCAGAGAGGGGAGAGGGGGGAGAGACACAAGAGAGGTCGGGCCATGTGTTGTAAGGTCGGGCCATGTGTTGTAAGGAAGGTCGGGCCATGTGTTGTAAGGAAGGTCGGGCCATGTGTTGTAAGGTCGGGCCATGTGTTGTAAGGTCGAGCCATATGTTGTAAGGTCGGGCCATGTGTTGGAAGGTCGGGCCATGTGTTGTAAGGAAGGTCGGGCCATGTGTTGTAAGGAAGGTCGGGCCATGTGTTGTAAGGTCGGGCCATGTGTTGTAAGGTCGGGCCATGTGTTGTAAGGTCGGGCCATGTGTTGTAAGGTCGGGCCATGTGTTGTAAGGTCGGGCCATGTGTTGTAAGGTCGGGCCATGTGTTGTAAGGTCGGGCCATGTGTTGTAAGGTCGGGCCATGTGTTGTAAGGTCGGGCCATGTGTTGTAAGGTCGGGCCATGTGTTGTAAGGTCGGGCCATGTGTTGTAAGGTCGGGCCATGTGTTGTAAGGTCGGGCCATGTGTTGTAAGTTCGGGCCATGTGTTGTAAGTTCGGGCCATGTCACTGCTTCACATCACACCTACTCAAGAGCAGTGTTCACCAAGCAGTGCCGATGATCATCCTCCCCGGCATTTGAGGCCAATCAAATAGTCATGTTTTGAATTCAAACAAGGTTTGGAACTCTATGGACAATACACGCAGCGTTTCTGGACGAACGGGACACACGGGAGTGATTGCAGCGTACCGGGGGGCAGGAGACGTTGTCGGGTGGGAGGAAGGAGGTGGCGGGCAGCATGGCGTTGCAGGCCTGGAAGCAGCTGCCCAGAGCCAAGGACGCCACCCGCATGGGCGGAGGGGCGCCACCGCTGCTAGAGCTGCTGCTGTTGGTGCATAGCTGTGGAAGGCAGAGAGTCCAAACCGCGCAAGTCTGGGACAAAGAGGGGAGGAGACGGATGGGGATGAGAGAAAGGCAGAGAGAGGATAAGGGGCAGGCAAGGTTGTGTGAGGAGCACTGCATCGTGCCTTCCACCTCACATCCCTCCACCTCACATCCCTCCACCTCACATCCCTCCACCTCACATCCCTCCACCTCACATCCTTCCACCTCACATCCCTCCACCTCACATCCCTCCACCTCACATCCCTCCACCTCACATCCCTCCACCTCACAGCCTGCCATACCGCTGCCCATTCTTCTCCCCATGTGCCACACAGTGGTCCACAAATCCCAGACGCCAGCAGCACGTTGCCCCCATCATGCCACTCAGCACATGCCACTCAGCACATGCCACTCAGCACGTGCCACTCAGCACGTGCAACTCAGCACACCCACCCAGTAATAGCGGGCCAGTATTGCAACAGCACCCCTCTGCACCATACTGCACAGGGATGTCATGCACCATACTGCAGCAGGGGGGTACCATGCCAGCCTGCCTAAGGCTCCTCGCCATCATACCTGTCTGCACCGCTGCAGACCGCTCTCGCCATCCGGCACACAGCCATCGATGAGCGCCAGCAGCACGTTAGCGCCCGTGCCGTTGGACGGCCGCACCCCCCCCTTCCCGCCCGCCGAGGGGGGCGGCGCTGCAGAGGGCGAGGAGGCGGGGGCGCCGGTGCTAGAGGGGGGAGGCGCAGGAGTGGGTGAGGAGGGTGGTGCTGCTGATGCTGCTGCTGCTGCTGCCACAGCTGGGTCGAGAGAGGCTGAAGGGAACTGTGGTCCATGGGGAGTGGTGGTGGGCTGAGACTCGTACACGTACACGCTCACCCCGCCGTGAGGTGCAGTGAGTGAGACGAACCAGTCGTTGTCTGGCCGATGCAGCGTGAGCGCCTGCCAGCCTGCCACCTCCGTGAACTCCTACGGACCCTCGAACCTGGTTTCAGGGTTGAGTGGGTAAGGGAAAGAATCCTATGATGTCATGTGAAGGTAAAAAACCAAATTCTCATGCGTATACCACTCACTCACACACTAACTCACACATGCATGTGTACTCACACAAACATTGCCTCGCTCGCACTGTACACACACTTTCACACGGAATGAATCACGCAGTGCGGTGCTGGCGGCTCACCAGCAGACGTCGCGGATGGCGGTGGAGCAGAGGTTCCAGGAGGAGGCAGCCATGGCGTCGCGCGAGGCAAAGCGCCAGCGCAGTGCCAGCGTGACGGGCGTCACGTTGCTGGCCACCCCGCAGTCTAGGGCGCACCCGAAGCGACCCACCGCTGGCACCTCCGTGGGGGGGGTGCACGTGCCGTCGCCACACTGCGGGTCCGTCCAGACGGCCTGAGCAGAGGGGAGAGGGGGGGAGAGTGGGGAGCCGGGTGGGGTAGGAAGGGGAGGACGCGGAGAGGGAACCTGGCTGTTGATATTTTGGGTTGACTGGTCCACAGTTGGAGCAGCTGAATTGGTCCCACTGCTGTGTGCCGCCGCCACACTGCGGGTCGGTCCATACTCCTCCCCTGCGCGCTGCTGCGCCTTTTCCGAACCAATCGCTCCATCCCCCCATTCTACTGCAACTTCTTGCCCTCTACAGCCGCGATCGTACTTACCAACCCTAAATCAGTGGCAAGGACTTGGGGGAAAGGAGGCGGTGGAACAACCAACGCCGTGAGAAGATTTGAACAACAGTTTGATACTAGTAGACTGCGTATGACTCGAGAGGTTGGGCGAAAAGGTAGTATTGACCTCGGTGCTTACATGAAAGGGTTGAAGGCACCCGCCGCACGTCTGAACAACCCCGCTTGGCGCAGAAGGCGGGCGACCTAAACCGCGGATCACTGTACATCGGGAAGGTTTCGTTGGGACAGCGTTTGCTCCCATGATGATGGCCCGCGAACTGTTTGATGCCATCAACTCTGCTGGACTATCCCTCCGCCGCTTGAGCCAGCATGGACCTTCACGACATCCTGGATGTGTGCAACATGTCATCGTGCATGTGGTAGTTCCACCTTCCGCTAAATTGACAATGATGACATAGTAAGTGTAACGCATCGCCCTCCTACCCTACGAGCATTTCCTAGCTAAAGCACTACCTAAGCAAGGTATCGACTTACGGGAAGAAGAGGTTGGAGGAGATGAGTGGTGATTGGTCCACAATTGTGGACCACCACCACTAAAAGACAAGCATGGTTGGAAATCAACCCAACCTCCACATTGGATGTAATTCCAACCAATAGCATTTGAGCATTGCTGTTACAAATTTCAACATGTAACAAAACCAACCTTATCACAAAACTATCTCTCTCATTGGTTGCTAATCCAACCATTGTGCCACCTAAGCAAGCTTACCCTAAGGAGCTCCTTGCCCTTGTTGCCATGGAGGAAGTGGAGCTCCCCAAGGAGGTCTAGGAGGGGTTTGAGCTAACCAAGCTCATTCTCAACTCCCAACTTCCAATTAACCAAAATGGAAATGGGATTCTCTCTCAAGTCCAAGACTTCTCCCTCACAAGTGCTCCAAGCATCTTCTACCTTCTCGGTGAAGCCA